TAATTTATTATTGCAACTATTGCTTTTTGTTCAGAGAAATCGTTGTGAAAAACTCCACGAACTTATGTTACAACCTAATAGATTCTGTTGTGTAAATGTTTTGAAAATTTGATGGCTTGTGGGAAAAGGTGAAAGGATTCCTTGATCAAGTAAGCATTTTATCAATTCAGAGAGACTGCCAGAGAGGAACGATTCCCTAGGTGGAAGTTAGGAATGATACTATTTTGCTATATTTACCAAAGAAACAAATACTGATGTTGTCATTTACAAATCGATCGCCCGGTTAACGTCAGGATTTAGTCCTTTCCGTAATCTAGTTGGCCGCATACTCATGCATACCTTGTGAGGGCCCCGCCTGCTATGATAGAACCCTTGCTAAAGTCATGTGGGTTTTGATGACCTTATTTGGCTGCGTACTTTCACCCATGTTACTCTAGTTTCGTATTTCGTGCAAGCTCCGCCCCTAGCCTTGCCGCCCACTATGTACCGCTGTTTTCTTCTGTCGTATATCCTGAAGTAAAAGCCAAAAAAAAAGTCCGAAAAACTTATTGATGATTGATGGTCAAAAACTACTCGTAACGTTGCATAGTGGAATAGATTTCTATCGAAGAAATGCGGCGTATTCATGTTTCATGGAACAAAGTTTTCATGGAACAGTTATGAACCAGAGGGGTCATGGCTTCCCAACCACACTTTGATAGCTAAAACAAGCTTTTTTCAGGGATATGTATTTTCGACATGAAAGGCATAGCTATTACGCCGTACATGTCACCGACTAGTGCAATTAATTGTTTAATGCAGGTGAGCATGCAATACTTTGAACGTTTTCATGAGTTGTTTTGACGAGTTCAGTCCCAACTAGTAGAGTTTTGATACTGATTTTCAATCCCTGAAACATAGAAATGATCTGGCACAGGGCCCAAAAAAAAGGTCGCTGTCGCTCTGCTCACACCCAGCGATTTTTCATGATAACTCGTTCGTAGTACTTTGAGGTTTGAATTCCCGGGTAGAAAGAGCTTATCGGAAGCACTTTTTATGCTGAAAGGTTTTTATGGCGAAGCTGTCAAGGAAATCAGATATCAGTTAATGGCGGGAGTCGAAGATGAGGGAGGGGAGACATTTTCCTCGAAGTGTAGGGCTGAGCTATAGGGGCGTGTAGCAAAAAATATGGTTAGGGAGTGGGGCTCGCTCTCCTCTGACACTTGGTTCTGAAGAGCTGAGAAGGAGGATATATCCTAAGATGGCGCTAAAAACTTTTTTAGCTAAACGAATATAGTTTTTTCCGGGTTTAAGGGAGAAGGAGCACCCATGTGGTGAATGAAAAGAATAGCTTTGGCGAAAAACTCCTTTAAAAAGTGTAAGCGATAGCGAACTATTCCCACTTCTCTACGCGCTAGCGCCTTGTGGCCTTGTGTTAGAGACGAGGGGCGCCCCCCCCCCCCCCGCACTCCAAAGAGATCTTCACCTCCCCACCTCCCACCCATGCTTGGCGGTAGGGGCTATTCGCCCGGATCTTTGTGGAATAACAAGGGGAAAAGTTGTTTTCATGGATGCTCAACATATAAACTGCCATTACTGCGGCGTGAGCAATTTCGATTGACTTGTAAAAGTAATTTTGGACCAGTTACCAAATTATGGGGGATATTTAGGCTCGCGTTAACATATGGCTAGACTACTACGCAGAACTTTTGAAGCATGTCATCGTTGTGAATCCACCAACATTTCTTGCTCTCGCATGGAAGGTGGGTGATCATTGTTAGTCAAAGTACGAGTTACCGAAGATGGAGTAATAACTTTACAAATATTCTAGTCAGTCTTTTTCTAATTATTTAAATTGCAAGACACATTACAGAAGGAGTAAAGTGGTAAAATGAATCTGTTCTTCCTGAGAAACAAATTAAGAATTATATTATAACAAAAATTGTAATGAAAATTACATAGTGTTAGAAATTATATATATCATATTATCTTGAAAATTACAACCACAAGATTGATTAACTTGAAAATAAATAAATCAAGGTTTCCATTCTTATAGGTCATATCATTCCTGCTCCCGGCAAAGGTCCACAATCGGTTTCACTTTGCTACACGGTATCCAGACCAGATAGCCATTTACCTTAGGTAACTAGTAAAAAGATTACAGTATTAACGTTTTCCACTACAGTACCTCGTTTCAGTATGGAAGCGATTCCCCCAGCCTTTTCCGGAACGTGTAAAATGCAAAGTGAACTGGACAATGGCTGTTTCAAGTCGGCGAAGATCACCGAGGATGACTTTGTGGTGAGCGTGGATCAGTAGTTATAACAGAATTGCGAAAAACAATTTATAAATACTGTTTGGTAGAATTGTTCCTCACTATATATTTACTGTATTAAATATAATTCAAACGAATAAATAAGTACCAATTTCCAATTAAAGCAAAGGGCTGAGAGGAATTTAGTGCTTGACGGAGCAGTGCAAGATGTGCATCACATCTCACCATTGCGATCTTTGATTGGTTGGTTCCTCCTCCTTCAAAGTGGACAATTGTCCCGGATCTACGTAGACCTACTGATTACTACACTGTCATTGAAAGTCATACCAACAGTTCAAGCTCATAAGGTCGTGGGGCACGGCATGCTCTCATGTATCCTTCACATGGCGTTCTCAGTCTCCTCTTACAGCAGTCTTTCTTAGCTAGTTGCCTCACTGCCAATGTCACGTAGTGAGCCAACTAGCAAAGAGATGCTGCGCTTTGTAGGCGAGCGCTGATTTTGAAGAAATCGAGAAGGCATACTGCTAGTAAAAGTTATATCTGCTGGTTATTTTTTTTTAATTTTTTTTTATTTCTGCTACAAAAGGGTCTTTGAATGGATGCTATTGAGTTTTCATGCAAATACTAGGATAACTCATCTAAACTGGCTTCTGCCGACATGCGCCTGTCTTCATAAATATGCCTCCACTTCAAGGGCAACTACGATGGAATCCTGGTAGCCTAAAATTTTCAGGAGGATGGCTCTTTATGGAAGGCAAATGGTATCGATCTGGCCCCGGAAATTCGATCAGTCAAGGCCGGAGATGAGATCTCAATCGAATTTCATCCTGAAAATAAACAGAAAATGATTTATCAGTTTACGAGTAATGCAGAAGTACAGGTCTGGTTTCAGCAAGGTGAGTCACACACCACACATCGTTCCAGTTTGACTTACTTTTTTATATAATATTTCAGTAGTCCACTTTCTTGCCTATTGGAGGGTCACTTTTCTCACGACTATGTTTCAGATGACATCGACTTAACACCACGATTCAAAATTATGACACCAAAATTGGCAGAAGAAGAGATTCTTGTGCTCCCATCTGATTCTCCAGTATTATTTCGAGTTTGTAATCGTAGCAAAATTTTTGCTGCTAAAGTAACGATTGCAGTAGCATTTTTGTGAATCCTGTTCCCTGATTAAATAAATATTTATATAAACCGTTTCTGCGTTCGCAATTTGAACTGTGCAGGTCATGTCCTTGGGGGAAATCGAGGGATGATGAACGTTCGAGGTTCTCCCTGGTTCATTGGGAAAAAACCGCTTTTCCCACATCAGGGGTGGAGTTTAATGAATTAACAGGTTTAATGGAAATACATACACACTAGCATGAACGTACCGGTTTAGCATCTGATCGCGCCCTTTCACCTTCGCACATCGACAACAATCCAGCCATGACTCCTTCGGTATGCCTTCCTATGCAGGAGAAAACTTCTTCACTTTTATAGCCTAGAAAATCCTCCAGTTGAAACATGGGGCAGCCGCGAAAAGTTATGGGACAGGCAGTTGTGAAATCTCTTCAGTAAATTTTACAATTACTGCATAGTACCACTTTTTTGATGGTGTTCAATACCGACCGCGTTTCATTCCACTTGGTCCTTTGAAAAGCATATTCAAAAACATCTACGCTGAAAGAGTGAAATACGGGATTCCCATGCTCGGACTTCCCTCGGAATACGGGAGAACCTGTCGTCTACTTTATTTTATTGTTTACTTTCACATCTTATTTTATTTTATCGTTAAGTTTCCCCTTTTCAATGTGTGCAATCGGTTATAAGGTCCCTGTACTATTATTGTAGCAATAGTAAAATAACTGAATTAATAGAACCTAAAAGAGCCCAAATTCAATGAACTTTTCTTTGGAGTTTGAGGATTGTTAGGAAATACACCTTATGCCAAGCACTTGCCACTTGTTGCTCGTACTACCACTTGTTTACTACTTTGTACTTCAATTTGACTCAAGAGAAACATTCAGTGTTTCTGCCGTCGGAACATGTTTCTCGTATGTTTTTTCCGTCGCGAACCTGACTGTTTTATTATATCTTCTAGATATGACAACTCCTTGTTGGGCTACTTCGGTTTTTTGCATTCTACTATTTTTTCTGACAACGGTAAGTTTTGGTTCGATATAAGTTTTCAAATTCATGAAAAATATAATTCGTCCTCTTCAACTGAGATCACTTTTATCTTACATTCAAACTGATGACTGGCACTGTGCCGAGCATTTGTATGAAGAAAACTATTCCAATGAGAAAGTGATCCTGTTGAATTAAGTGTCCATGATTTTATCAAAAGGGTTGGGGGGTCTAATACCAGTGAATAAACAACAGTTATCAAATATTGAAGGGCAATAGAGAAAGTTGTCTATGACTTCTAATCAGATTTGTGCGACAGCCATGTCTATCTGCCTACCTCCCACCTTAGGCAGAATGGATGCGTCGTTCCTTCGGATGTGCCTTCCGAAGTTGAGCATGCCGACAAGTTTATACCAAAACGCTCAAAGAGCTTCCACTTGTTATCGTGGCTAGACTCTTCACGTTGGAAAGCAAAGTGCCAACGACATGTCTTGCCTGCTGTCTTTATTCTGCTACATACCTTCACGCGCGATGTCGCACTCGCCGCGGAGCGACAGTTTCGATTCAACTGCACTACACCCGGCCGATATTAAGACAGGAACCAATTCTTTACCCCCTATTAAGTTTATTTGAAGGGTGGATAACTGGGAATTTGAGGGCTCAGATGTCTGATGGTGAGCCGGTAAAGACTTTAGCACCGCCGGTGGGGCACCCTTTCCACTGAGCAAGTAGTGAGCTCAAATAAACGCCTTCGATTCTGTAAGTTAATTATCGCTTTCAGAATTTTACGAGTTTTATATAATTCAAGATGCATTGTGATCAATCACCTATCACGATTCTACGTAGAAGAACGGCATATCATGGAAAGTTCTCGAATATGACTGTGGTTGATTTCCTGAAACGGTCCGGAGCACCTGGTGTGAGTTCAAGAACTCTAAACTAAATTAGACAAAAATATTCCATAATCAAGGTTCGTAACAAAGCCAAGGTTACTACAGTGCTTTCACACTATGTTAGGTTAGGCTAAGATAGGTTCCATGGGATATACAAAGTATATGAAGGAAATTTTACTGATTAACTTCACTAACTGGTACTGCTTGCAGTCATCTTAAAATGGTCTGCCTCACTTTCGATATAGCTGGAACAAAAGCTTCCACGTCCGGGACTTCCACAATTCTTTCGCTTAGTATGATTCAGTGCTTCGAGACGTGAAGTGAATATTGGGACCAGACTACTGATGGCCCCGAAGCTGCTCAGCTTAAATTATTTGTTGGGTCTGAGAGTTTACTGGTTTCCATAGAGTAAAATGGGTTTCTCAGTAATTGCTGCATGAGCAGGACTTCGTTAGATTATTGTAGAAAAGAGTAGTAAGGCTTCAGCGTAACCAATCGAACATAAAGTAAAGGATAAAGTCTCATGTCGTTAATCAATCCCGTCTGAGGGATGCGCCCCGCATTGGACATCCTTTCAAAATGGCGTATTGAATGCGTATGTGGCCTATACAATGGTTTGCGGTGGTCAGTCGATGGACAAGATAGTGCTTTTATCCTCCCAGATCAGCTATCAATTAAACGACCTAGGAGGGATGGAAGGTTTGGTGGCCTAGGCGGATATCAAACCTGTGACCATGCCTGTGAGAAGTGCACCAGTTCCCGCTACACCACTTCGCCTTATCAATTGAATATAAACACAAACAATCTAATAGATGGCAAATCATTATTTCTAAGGAGTAACAGTTGCACAGGTATGGGAATTCATGGAATCAATCACGCCCAAGAATCCCGATGGTATTGATGGAGTTCATGTGATAGCCCGATTGAGGAGTCAGGGCCAATTTTACTTCGTCTTCACTAAACAGTACAGATTCCCTTCGAATAGTTGGACGCTCGAATTTCCTGGAGGTCAGCTGAATTTGCTGTTTCCAAATACCGACATTTTTATCAAATAATTCTTGCAAAAACATCTACCCAATCACCATCAATTTCTCTTTATTATACATCAGTTAATAATCTAATGTGCCTAGAAGTGAGACGTTAGTATCGTTCTATTCAATGCAATGCGAAATCCATAAGAAGTTTTGCGTTAAGGTATCCAAGAGGCAGATGAAAGTTCAACAGAGGCTGGACTTCGTGAGCTTAGAGAGGAAACTGGATATACCGCAGCGAGGACTTTATTCAGGTAACCTTGAGGGAACATTCACATACGAGCCATAATGAACGATACGATTGACTGGTAACATTACTGAAAAACGAAGGCCTCTATGTTTTACCCTCCCGTGATTCTAAGTAGTTCATCTTCCGAAGTGATAGTACATACTAGCCTCTTGGGGTATAACGTAAAAGGGGCAATCTTGCAGAGCTGGAGATTCTTTTAAGCCTGGAATCGTAATTACCTCCATCTCAACCCTATACCAGTAAAGCCCTCCAGAACTTGGCTATCATGTGACCGATACTTTCTCTTCAATTCAAGGACTGGAGAGTCTTATTTACTTCTCAGATTGACCATAGTCAACCTGTCTTTGTTGTGGGCAGTGGTCAAAAGTAATCAGGCACTGGTAGGGCCCATAGCACTGATAGGCCATTCAGTGTAACTTGCCAAGAAGGCTATCCTACTTACTTTTGATACTTACAGAGGTTCTTTTTCAGTTCCACTGGCAAGCAAGCCAGCATGCCTTCACGTCTCAACGACGCTGCACGGCATGTTGTTGTTGAGATCGATAAGGACACAGGGAACAACCTGGCCCCACAACAATTTCTGGACGATTCCGAGGTAAATAATATTGTAAAAGTAAATGGTATTTTTACCGTGTTGATATAAAGTCTCCCAAGTGAGCCACACTTTTTTATGTAAGGGATTTTTTGAGTTTCCTCGCCAAAGTCTGTCTACTGTCTACTAATCCAAAGGACAAACGACCCAACATGGAAAATGGAGAAGGATCTGTTAATCTTTTCCAAAAATGCCCCCCACCCTTCCTCCAATGCCGAATCCGATTTTCCCTTCAACGAATGTAAGACATCTGCTTTACCCCTGTTACAGTATCTCGGCATCTCATGCTAACAAGCACCAGCTCGGCACTGTCGACCCTATTGGTCGATGGGCGTTTGGCTTGATGTGATTGTACTGGCAGATTGACTAGTAATAGTTGAGGTGGGTGCAGTAGACTATGGGGTCCCCTAGAGTATTCATTCCATAATGAAACACGTTGAATGGTTCGTGGTCACCTTCTGCCACCAAAATTACCTGTGGCTGATGAAAATTCGGAACTATGTACTTACCAGTTAGTGCATGTGGTTGCGTGAGAACTCGAACAGTTCCCCCTGAGTGTGATTCCAGTGAAACTCTTATGGGCATTTCTTATGATTCTGGCAGTCAGAATAGTAACAACCACCTTCCCTCAGTCATTAGTATTTGGACATTCACCTTGCTTTAAAACACCCACAAGCTCCCACACCTGCCACGGCTTGCAAACAGCTATTTTTAGGAATAGAAATAACTTTTTATAAATCCTCCAGAAATTTCGAAACTGTAAATGGATGTGAATGGTAGTATAACCTATAATTGTACCAAATCATAATATGTGTTCGGGGGGGGGGG